GAGGCAGAGTTGCTCTGCCCCGGGCTTCCTGGAATCAGCTGCTGATCAGTTTCAGCAGCAGCTGACTTGGGGATGCCTGGGGTTCTTAAGTTGATTCTGTATGTAAGTCAGAACTGGTGGTCAGTTTCAGCAGCGGCTGAATCTGGATGCCAGTTCCGACTTACATACAGATTCAACTTAAGAACAAACCTACACTCCCTGAGGCAGAGTTGCTCTGCCCCGGGCTTCCTGGAATCAGCTGCTGATCAGTTTCAGCAGCAGCTGACTTGGGGATGCCTGGGGTTCTTAAGTTGATTCTGTATGTAAGTCAGAACTGGTGGTCAGTTTCAGCAGCGGCTGAATCTGGATGCCAGTTCCGACTTACATACAGATTCAACTTAAGAACAAACCTACACTCCCTATCTTGTACGTAACCCGGGGACTGCCTGTATTTACTAAAAGTCAGCAACCGGTCACAGGCAATAAATATTCACTGGAGCTCATGATCTGTTTTTGATTTTTATTTAAAAACTAGAAGATTTATCTAGCATTGGTCAAGTCCTCAACTCAAATTTTGTTTTTCTTCATTTAAATCGTTATTCTGGAGTGGGCCTAGGGATGAGAGGTTCAGTTTGCAGCTTGGGGCCAAGTTAGAAGCACCTGTCTATGGCCACTACAGAGGGCACAGCCGGGGAGGGGTGCTTGTCCCCAGACATACAGACAAACAAAACACACAAACAGACAAACTTTCTGAAATATATAATAGATACCTTTCTCCACCCCCGCATCTTGCTTGCCCAATAGCTGTCCTGGTCCCCATCTCTGGCTGCTTGCTGCACCCTCAGTCTCCTGTGGTTATTCTGCAGTATAATTGTCCCTTCTACCAGACTTCTTCCTTTCCATTTTACGAAAAAAATCTAATTCCAGGCACATCCCATTGTCCAGCACAATCAAACCCCGACCTTGCTTTAAATTGTGATAAGAGGAAGCTGCATACCCAGTTGTTTGGTCCTAGCTCTTACCATTTAGGAGTTCTTCTTGAACAAACAGACTCAGATGGATGGGCAGAAGGACAGACAGATGCATGCTTCTAAAATATAGTAAGATATGTGTGACAAAATGGGCAGTGGTGAGGGCCCTACTTCCTTTTTGTGGCTCAGAGTTCCTTGATCCATCATGGCTTGTGTTGGCGCTGTGGAGAAACCCCAAAATTCCCAGCTGCTGTTAGATGGTGGTATGATTGTGCAGCTTCTAGCTAATACTGGCTTAAATCATGGAGGTCTCAGAAAGTCATTGCTTCTGTGACTTCTGTAACCTCTGTGATAGAATCATAGCCTTACCAATGATCTATGTACTTAAGAGATGGCCTCTTTCCTTATTCTATATCGCTGCAATTGCAGAGGCTCTTCTGTGACATTTAAAAGAAACTTGCTCCCATCTTTGGTCCAACTTTGCCTATTTCTGATTATTTTAAGGATATATTGAAAAGTCCATCTTAATGCCAAAGCATATGAAAAAAGGAGAATGGGATGGATGCTTTTAATGGGGGGAGGGGCGGAGTAATATGTGGAATGTTTCAGTACTTTATTTGCATTGTGCTGTAAATAACTGACAGAGGATGGACTTTCTGCAGTTTAGTAATAATGGAGGGGGAGACATGTATGTCTGTGGGTGTATGTGTATTATATTTGTAGTTTAGTTTTTGTCAAGCACCCAAAGCAGATGAGCAACTGCTCTTCCTGCTATATAGAAATCAAGTGAATATTTTATCTTAAATGGTGAGGCCTGGATTTTGGAACTGGAAGAAGTGGTGAGTGCCCATAGTATATAATTACACTGATAACATTGATGTTCTACAGGGCCACATATTTGTTCTCAACATTAGGGAAACTTGTTTCCCGGCTTGCTAATAGCACAGTTTCTGTCTATAGCCATTCACTAAAATGGAGTGTTCAAAATAAAAAATAGTCAAATTAATTCATGCATTTCTTCTGTCAATAAAATGAGTTCAATAATAGTATTGATGTTTTTATTTTATATATATCGCAAAATCTTCTACGTGCACATTAATACTTCTCAGTGCTGGTAGACTTACGCTTGCTCAACATAAACTGTGTTGAAAAAATAGCATTGGGGATACTGTGTTTTGTGGCAGTGGCAGTTATTGGGTCCAGGATTCTATTTCCAAACCTAAGAGATTGGACAGGTATGGACTTCAGTGGCTTGCCCAGTTTAGAATCATAGAATCCTATGGCTGGAAGGTACCTCAGTAGGTCATTCAGTTCATTCCCGTGCCCAAAGCAGGACTAATCCCAATTAAATCATCCCAGCCAGGGCTTTGTCAAGACATGAGTTAAAAACTTCTAGGCATGGAGATTCCACTGCCCGAGGTAACCCATTCCAGTGCTTTACCACTCTCCTAGTGAAATAGTTTTTCCTAATATCCAACCTAGACCTCTCCCACTGTAACTTGAGACCATTGCTCCTTGTTCTGCCATCCGTCACTACTGAGAACAGCCTCTCTCCATCCTCTTTGGAACCGCCCTTCAGAAAGTTGAAGGCTGCTATCAAATCCCTCCTCTTTCTTCTTTTCTGCATACTAAATAAGCCGAAATCCCTCAGCCTCTCCTCATAGATCATTTGCTCCAGCCCCCTAATCATTTTGGTTGCCCTCCGCTGGACCCTCTCCAATGTGTCCACATCTTTTCTAAACTTGGGGGCCCAGAACAGGACACAATACTCCCAGATGTGGCCTCGCCAGCATTGAATCAAGGGGAATAATGACTTCTCTAGATCTGTTGGAAATGCTCCTCCTAATGCACCCTAATATGCCATTACCCTTCTTGGCTACAACGGCACACTGTTGACTCATATCCAGCTTCTCATCCACTGTAATCCCCAGGTCATTTTCTGCTAAACTGCTACTTAGCTAGTTAGTCCCCAGCCTGTAACAATGCTTGGGATTTTTCCATCCCAAATGTAGGACTCTGCACTTGTCTTTGTTGAACCTCATCAGATTTCTTTTGGCCCAATCCTCCAATTTATCTAGGTCACTCTGGAGGCTATCCCTGCCCTCCAACTTATCGACCTCTCCCCCAGTTTAGTGTCACGTGCAAACTTGCTGAGGGGGCAATCCGTACCCTCATCCAGATCATTAATAAAGATATTGAACAAAACCGGTCCTAATACCGAACCTTGGGGCACTCCGCTAGAAACCGACCGCCAACCAGACATCGACCCATCAATCTCACCAGCTTTCTATCCAACTTACAGTCCATTTATCTAATCTATACTTCCTTAACTTGCTGGCAAGAATATTGTGGGAGTCCGTATCAAAAGCTTTGCTAAAGTCAAGGTATATCACATCCACTGACTTCCGCATATTCACAGAGCCAGTTACCTCATCACAGAAACTAAATTGACCATCACAGAAGTGAAATTGATCATCTCATGATCACTGCTGCCCAGTGCCACAACCTCAGTACAGGTTGTATCTCCCTTAACCAGGACCACAGAGCCCAGGAGGAGGGAAAGATATTTTGGCCTTGGAAAGGGTTCAGAAAAGGGCAACTAAAAGGATTAGGGGTTTGGAACGGGTCTCATATGAGGAGAGGTTAAAGCGACTGGGACTCTTCAGTTTAGAAAAGAGGAGACTGAGGGGGGATATGATAGAGGTATATAAAACCATGAGTGGTGTGGAGAGGGCCGATAAAGAAAAGTTATTTATTAGTTCCCATAATAGAAGAACTAGAGGACACCAAATGAAATGAATGGGTAGCAGGCTTAAAACTAATAAAAGAAAGTTCTTCTTCACAAAGCAAATAGTCAACCTGTGGAACTCCTTGCCAGAGGAGGCTGTAAAGGCTAGGACTATAACAGAGTGTAAAGAGAAGCTAGATAATTTCATGGAGGGTAGGTCCATAAAAGGCTATTAGCCAGGGGATAGAATTGATGTCCCTGGCCTCTGTTTGTCAGAGGCTGGAGAAGAATGGCAGGAGACAAATCGTTTGATCATTGTCTTCGGTCCACCCTCTCTGGGGCACCTGGTGCTGGCCACTGTCGGCAGACAGGCTACTGGGCTAGATGGACCTTTGGTCTGACCCAGTGCAGCCATTCTCATGTTCTTATGTTAATTGTTGTGGTGAGGCAGGAGCGCCATACGGGGCATTGATGACTCAGCCAGGAGCCCAGTGTGTATGTGTGATGGGGAGCAGGACAGGTGGCATAGCAGGGAGTTCTGGCCCCAATGGAACTCCCTTGCCTCAGCAGACGGGGAGGCTAGTCTGGCTGTGGATCTATGGCCCTGGTCAAGGAGCTCCTGACATGTTCTGGCTCTAGTGGCTGGGGAACTCCAGCCCCAGCAGCCAGGGAGCTCTAGCCCCGTCCTCAGCCACAGAGCTCCAGCTGCGTTCTGGCTCCAGTGGCTGGGGAATTCCAGCCCCAGCAGCAGCTAGGGAGCTCTGTCCTGGACTGCAGCACTGTGGCCCATCCCTCGCCCCAGCCACAGAGCTGTGCCCCAGCTGCGGAGACCGGAGGCTTCGGGGCTCTGCCCTGGCCGTGGAACTCCGGCCATGGCACTCTGGCCCTGGCTGCAGCGGGGCAGGTTGGAGCCCTAGCCCAGTGGCAGCATGGCCACAGGGTAAGGACTTTCCCTGGTCTGGCAAATGCCCTCATTCGGCACCAGTTAGGTTCTGAGGGTGCCGGACCTGCAAGGTCCAAACTGTGTTGCTATTTTTAGTTCACTAGCTCAAGATGCCTGCCCATGGTGGGAGTAGGGATGTAAAACATCATTTCAAAAGATAACCATGTAACTGCTAAAAATCTTAGCGGTTGCATGGTTACACGCGCTGCTGGCTCTGAATACAAAGCTTAGCTTTATATCTCAAAGCCCACAATGAAGCCTCTCCAGGAGCGGTGCTGTCACCCCCTGCTGGCCCTGCTTCTGGAGAGGCTTTTCTGCAGGCTCTCCAGCTGGCTTTCCTGGGAGCCACAGTGTGTTACCTGTGGCGGGGGGGGGGGGCTGCTACACCCGGCTGTGATGGGCCCTGTGGGGTGGGCAATGAGCTACTCCAGCCCTGTTGGTTAACAGTAACCAGTAAGTCTCACCCGTTATACTCTTAAAGCTATTATAGCAGGTGCCTTTCACTGTTTTGAATTTTTCAGTATGTTCTACCATATGATGGACTATGTGGGTTATTCACTTGTTATTTAAAAGGGCATTTCTGCATTTATTAATACAGAGAATGATTTACATCAATCAGTTTAGGACATATGATCTGTTAATATCTGAATAAAAAATGTTAGTTGATTAGATTTTGCATTTTTCTTGGCTGTCATTACTAAAGCAGAGTTTGGCTGTCCTACTGAAGGATTAGATTGCTACTGGGCATTAGAAGAACATCAGTGACCTGTCACCTCCAGGCTCTTAATGAAAATTCAAAGATCTTTAGTAACTGCATGATGATGATGAACAATTTGTTTAGGTGATTGTGCATGTGAGCTGACTGCTGGAAGATAATTGTGAATTAAAATTTAATTGAGTATTTTAATGATGTGGTAATGTTGTGTACATTACATAAAAGCTATTTATTGTTTTGGAAGATATTTAGTAATCACAACACTACTTCCACTCCATTATACTATTATGATATTTAAAAAACAACCAAATTTTATTTTTATTAATATGTGCAGAAATAATCAAATACCTTTTTAGCAAGTCAGAAATAAGCTCAGTTTAGTATTGGCTCAAAACCTGGAAACATTTTTGTTAAATGTTTGAGGATGTGGGAAATGGTAAATCAAAAGAGTGTGTGTGTGTGTGTGTGTGTGTGTGTGTGTGTGTGTGTGTGTGTGTGTGTGTGTGTACACACACACACACACACACACAAAATTGCATGAAGAAAAATTTGAAATTTAGAAAAATTTGACCACATCTTCTCGGTTTAATAGATTTTTACATTTCCCTTGTCTGCTAAATAAATAAGTCATCACAATATCTTAATTCTTCTTATCTTCATACACATAAATAGGTGAACTGAGAATGTTTAAATGTTTCTTGCATATTCTCCTCTTTTTATGCAAATTGCCCAGCAGTACCATCTGTATCATGACAAGGAAGAGATCTGAATGTTGGAATTTCAAAACTGTTTTTAAAAAGTCTTGTTTCAAAGTGTCAGCAAGACATGAAGTTTCATCTTTTGAATGTATCTGGCAAAGTCAATATGAGAGTTTATATGGTCAGTAAACCAACCTCTCAAGAGACTGTCTGCATCAGTTCTTAAACATGCTCAATCTTTACTTCAGTTTTTAGGATCACAAATCCTACAAGTGCTCTCTTTGTAGTTTAACCTTCCTTCCTGAAAATCAGAGCATTATTAACATCATCTCAGTGGGATAACTACATCTCATTGGAAAACTACTGATTTTTTGTATGTAATTGTTTCATTTTCTGTACCTAATAATAGGAGTATAGCTAATGTGCTACCAGTTTTTAAAAAAGTTTCTAGAGGTGATCCTGGCAATTGTAGGCCAGTAAGTTTAATCTTAGTACCAGGCAAATTGGTTGAAACTATAGTAAAGAACAGAATTGTCAGACACATAGTTGAACATAATTTGTTGGAGAAAAGTCAATGTGGTTCTTGTAAAGGTAAATCAAGTCCCACTAAGGGTAGGAATAAATAATCAGTTTTCAGAATGGAGAGAGATAAGTAATGGTGTTCCTCTGGGGACTGTAATAGAACCAATACAGCATGTTCCTAAATGATCTGGGGGGGAACAATGAAGTGGCAAAATTGGCAGGCTACACAAAACTACTTGAAATAGTTAAGTCCCATGCAGACTGCAAAGACCTACAGAAAGATATCTCTCAAAACTGAGCAACTCGGTAACAAAATGGTAGATTAAATTAGAAGTTGAGAAATGCAAAGTAACACACATTGGAAAACATAATCCCAACTATACAAATGGGGTCTGAATTAGCTGTAACCGCTCACGAAAGAGATCTTATAGTCATTGTGGGTAGTTCTCTGAAAACCTCCACTCAATGTGCAGTAGTAATCAAAAAAGAAAACAATATTAGGGGATTTTTAAGAAAGGATAGATAATAAGACAGAAAATGTCACATTGTCACTATATAAATTCATTTCACCCACATCTTGAATACTGTGTGTTTGATGTGGCTACCCCCATCTTAAAAAATATATTGGAATTAGAAAAGGTTCCGACAATGGCAACAAAAATGCTTAGGTGGTATGGAATGGATTCCATATGAGGAGAGATGAATAGGGCTGGGACTTTTCAGCTTGGAAAAGAGATGACCAATCAGGAATCTGAGTGAGGTATAATGGTGTAGAGAAAGTAGATAAGAAACTGCAATTTACTCATAACACAAACTAAGGGGTCACACACAATTAATAGATGGCAGGTTTAAAACAAAAGGCAGTATTTCTTTACTCAACTGACATTCAACCTGTGGAGCTCTTTGACAGAGGATGTTGTAAAGGCTCAGAATATAATAGGGTTCAAAAGAGAACAAGATGAATTTATGGAGGATAGATCCATCAATGGTTATTAGCCGGGATTGGCTGAGATGTGTCCCTAGTCTGTTTGTCCGAAGCTGGGAATAAGCAACAGTGAATGGATCACTTAGGCTATGTCTAGACTGCAAGCCTCTTTCGAAAGAGGCTCTTTCGAAAGATACTTTCAAAAGAGCCTCTTTCGAAAGAGAGCGTCTAGACTGCACGCGTAATTTCGAAAAAGCAAGCCGCTTTTTCGAAAGAAAGCACCCAGTGAGTCTGGATGCTCTCTTTCTAAAAAGCCTGTTTGCTTTCAAGAACGCCTTCTTTCGAAAGAGCACTTTCGAAAGAAGGTGTTCTTCCTCGTGGAATTAGGTTTACCACTGTCGAAAGAAAAGCCACATTCTTTCGATTTAATTTCGAAAACGCGGCTGCAGTCTAGACGCAGGTGAAGTTTTTTCGGAAAAAGGCTACTTTTCCCGAAAAAACCCCTGAGTCTGGACACAGCCTTAATCATTACCTGTTCTGTTCATTTCCACTTGGGTACCTGATACTGGCATCTGTGGAAAGACAAGATACTGGGTCAGATGGCCATACTTATCTTCTTTCTTTCAAAAGAATAAGTGACATTTGCTAGATTGACAGCTCTAGAGTCTGGACTTCATGTAAACACTTTGATCACCTGCCAGTGTATCATATCGCATGATATTGTTAGACTGCCAGGGTGTATGAGGAAAGTTCGGTTCTTAGGTCACTAAGATTAGATGGCCACTTCTACTGAGAGACTTCTACACTAGGAATTAGACTTTCTAATAGCTCATTTCACAGAGGACAATGAAATTATATATGAGATTGTATATGTATGGTCATTATTGACCAGGATTGCATATAAACGAGTGAGCTAGTCGTGAAGGGTCAAATACCCTGTTACTTTTTAGTTATCCATCTCTCTCTCTCTCTCTCTCACTCATATCTTAGGCATTCAGAAGGTGATACTTGTGAACATCTAAAGAGTTTGGATGCTGCTGTTAACGTATCATTAGTTTCCCAATAGCCCTGACTGTTCATAAATATTTTTGTTTCTCTCTGCTGCAGTTTCCTGCTCTGCAGCATTCATTCGCAATTGCTGACAAGGTAGATTTAAATGGATGCTTGCTAATAAAATGAGTCTATTCTTAGACCTACATGGCAAGTCTTTTATTATCCCTGTCTTGCTCGCGGCAGTCCTGGTAACAGATGTGACCTGTTCTCTTGCCTTCAGTCTCAAACAGCAGTCTGTGCTGCATTAATTACTTTGGTGAATGCCTGTATATCGCTGTGCATTTTAAAGAGGTTTCCTTTTTATAATTGGTTGAGCCATTATTCCTCTAACTGCTGGCTTTCTTTGTGTATCTCTTTTCTAGCAAATGCCAGATGTGAATGTGACCTGGGATGGAGAGGGCCCTAGGCAGCTGCAATCCATCGACATCTCTATTGCTGTGGCAACAGACCGAGGTCTCATTACACCAATCATAAAAGATGCTGCTACCAAGGGAGTACAGGAAATTGCTGCCTCTGCAAAGGTAGGTCTCAGATGTACAGTAGGCTTAGGAATATCATGGCTGTGTAGCTTTTTGCAGCCAAAGGTATGGCATGACCCAGATGGAAATGAATGATTATCTCAAAAGCAGTTTAAAAAAAGGCTGAAAGCTTTTTTTTTTTTTTTTTTTTTTTTTTTTTTTTGTGGTATTGGAATTTTAAATGTATTATTAATATAGCAAGTAGGGATGTTCAATTGTGTTTAAGCAGATAATCGATTAGTCAATAAGGTGGAAAATTACAGAGCTGCAGCGGGGTTAGCTCCCATGGGAGTTATTCTCCTCTTAATACATTTAAAAGGCAGAGGCACAGCCAGGAGGACTGGGTGCGAGCCGAGACAAATGATTACTGGCTCGTGCCTGGTCCCCGCACTATGCCTCTGTGTCCATTGCCCCCACTCCTCTACGAAGATGGTGCTGGGGGGAACTGGTTTTTAAGCGAGCTCCCCCCAGCACTGGCTTTTGCTCTCCTCCTCCCTCTTGCTGCCTCTGTCTGATAGAGGCAGAAGTGAAGGGGTATGGGAAACAACTAGTTGAGTCACTACTCAACTACCTGATAAGCATATGCTTACTGGATAATTGACTAGTCACTTACATCCCAAATAGCAAGTCTCTTCCATCAATTTTATTAGCATTTTTTTTTAAATGCAAAAATTATTTAGCCATCAAATTCTGCAGTGAAATACAGCCTGTGAAATTGTCTCTTAATCAGAGTAGTGTATTAACAACATCAAATAAGTAGTTTCATATTCATTAGCATTTGTGGTATTTTTTCCAGGATATAAATAGATGGGAGTTGTTTGTTTTATTGTAAATATTATATCCCTTATTCAGGGCTTTGCTTATTTGAGCATTCAACACAAGTCACGAATGGAGTGTGCCTCAAAGGTAGCTTTAAATTAGCTTTATTGCCTAGATTTCTAGAGCTGCATTGTCTTAAGCCAGGTGTAGGTTAGAGCTCCTCTCCTTTAGTGGCAACTGGGGCTAGGGACTGTTGCGGCACCCAGATTTAAAACCCTCTATTTAGCCATTTCATCTTAGCATTCTGGGCTGTGCACAGCCAAGCTGGCTTCTTAAATAGCTCTACATTTTAAAATCTATTCTGCCAAATTTACAAACTCCTTCCCTCGGTCAGGTAGATTTAATATACTAGCGATATAGGCATGTAGATTAGACTACCCGGCATAGGAAAATGAAGCAGCGATTTAAATAATCGCTGCTTCATTTAAATTTACATGGCTGCTGCGCTGAGCCGATCAGCTGTTTGTCGGCTCAGCGGGGTAGTCTGGACATTCCGCGGTCGACATCAAAGGCATTTGTCGACCTCCTAGGTATGCCTAATCCCAGGAGGCATACCTGGGAGGTCGACAAATGCCTTTGATGTCGACCACGGAGCGTCCAGACTACCGCGCTGAACCAACAAACAGCTGATCGGCTCAGCGCGGCAGCCATATAAATTTAAATGAAGCGGCGATTATTTAAATCGCCGCTTCATTTTCCTATGCCGGGTAGTCTAATCTACATGCCTCTGTCGACAGAGGCATGTAGTCTAGATGTACCCTCAGTCTGACTTGCTTCAGAAAAGGGTCCGATGGCTTAGGACTCGGAGCCATACACAGGGCTGATCTTCCTCAAGCAAGTAAGCAGCTGTGGGTTTGTAAAATTGCCCATGTGCAGGAGTGACTCTGCCTCCAGATATGTATGTTCAGAGCTACAAAAAGTGTGATAGCTTTGCATGGAATGTTGTTCTGAATAACAGTGCTGGAAAAGTAAGAACTAATACTACTGTACTTAGTGTCTGGTCTTTAAATGGTATCATCCCACAAAATGTACATGAAGTTGACTTTAGAATGTTCACTTTTTAAATTGTTGTCAAGACCCCCCTCTGAAAATACAGTCATTGCTAAACATGAATGTTTTATTGAGTATGATATGGAGGTCTCTTATCCACCAGCTAGCCAAGGAGTAAGGATAGCAAAAATAGCAATATAAAGCTTTACTTTCACACTTTTACCTCTGTCGCGAGAATCACAGGTCCGATAATGAATACCCAAGTGGGGAAGGACAGAGCCAGGTGGACAGTTTTATCAAATAAAAATTATTTATTTATGACAGAGGTGAATTTATAGTATTTATTCTAAGATTTTTAATAGACCGTGTTAATAATGAATTTACAGTATTTATTATATTCTATGGTTTCTAGTAAAACGTGTCAGAAATATAGGGATGGGAATGGCAAGGGGAATAGTCTCTAATCTTAAAATATCCAGCTACAGTAATAAAATAACAGTGATAACTACAAACTCTTATGTACTACCCAAAAACAACTACAACACTAAGCTTATACAACAAGAAAAAAATCAAATCATACATACCAACTTACACAGCACACGGAACATATCACAGATATCGGTTCGGTTGCGAAGGCCTTGGTTACGCCCGAGAGTCAGGGGAGGTGGCTGGTCGGTTGATCAGGCCGGCAGCGCTTTGAAGTATATGAGAACGCACACGCACGGTGGTACGTGTGTTGCGAAGACCTCCTAGAGCAAACTGTGCCATGGGTATTTATCCGCAAATCTGCACATTGCTTTCCCGCGCTTGCATATTACCATATATGGCCCAATGGTCACCAAGTGGGGGGGTCTGTGTCCCAGGGGTTGGGCCGAAACTGTTCAGGTTTCATGCGACCAGGTAAGCCCCGCAGTTCTCACGCCAAGGTGACGGGTGGGAGAGTCTGAGGCTATTTTCCCCTTTTCACACCTT